CGTGACACAAAGCAGACTCATGCAACAACTGACAACAATACAGATGAAGATCGGGGAAAAGGCGATGCAGTATATGAGTCGCTGCCAGACCCTCCGCGACCGCCTGCTTCGGTGCGGAGGAACAATCACTGAAGAAAGCTTCGTAACACTTGTCCTCGCCGGGCTCGGGCCAGAATGGAGAACCACACGATCGCTTCTTCGCGCCCACGGAAGGATTTCGGAGATGCACCTCTGCGCCGAGCTTCACGCTGAACAACAGGAGATGGACCTGTTCGAAGAAAGACAACCAAGAAAGCAACAGCAGTTAGTCTTCTACACTCAACGAAGAAACGACAACACCTACAATCGACGCGGCAAGCAAGAACGTGACAACAGGGGACTTACCTTCGTGCCGCCGTTCTGCCACAACTGCCAGACTTCCGGGCACTCCAAGGTCAACTGCAACCGCCCTCGCGTTTACCGTCCAGCAGACCCACAAGTCGCTTCCACTCAAGCAAGTCCCCAAGGCGCTCTTCAACATCTGCACAACAAACACCAAACATTATCAATTGCATGGTACACATCGACAACTGCGCACCCGGATCACCACCCACCTACGCGCCAGACGAAGAAGAGCTGCCGCCACCGCGCTCACAAGGCCTTCAAGTCAATCCAACATATGCTGCGGTCGCCAACGCCGAACCCACCGGGCGAAACACCTGGTTCTTGGACAGCTGCTGCGGTCAACACATGTGCTCCTCGGGACGCTTCGTGCAACAGGAGAAACGCCTCAACCGCGACGTCGTCATCACCGTCGCCAACAACGAAAACCTGAAGACAAACAGACAAGGCGTGGTTCAGTTACAATCGATGGAGACAAACGTCATACTTCAGCTCAACAAAGTGCTCATTGTCGACAATCTGGGATACAACCTACTAAGCGTAAGCCAACTAATGGCCAAGGGGATTCACCTGGAGTGCGACTCCTACTCCAACGAGTTTCGGCTTTACCACGGGAAGGGCGGCCTCTTCATCGGTCGTGCCCTCCTGAAGTCCGGTGTCTTCGTGTTGGACTTCGTCCCCGACCGCGGTACTGCCGACAGCGACGGTATCGTATCGTTCGCCACCTGGACACACCCGCCGGATCTTGATCCCGACTTCGACAGTGACGGCTTCTGGCACTCCAACACCATACCTGCAGCAGAGAGAACACGAGCATTAGCAGTTATCAGACAAGAAAGACAAGTACCCGCAAGTATCCCAACCAAACCATCACCTGCAGTATCGGCAGCAGGACCCAGCCGAGTCCCACCACCAGCGACCCGAGGACCGCCAACCGAAGCAGACCAGCTTATGCCCATCACACGAGAAGTTTGTCGAAGTCCCGCCTCAGTCGTCGCGTTCTTCTCCAACGCCGACATCTACCACCGCTCGCCCGGTCATCGCGCTTCCGACGACATCTGGCACCAACGCCTCGGACATCCTGCAAACAGCACGATACTACAAACAATCCAAGCAGAGGTGTTAGAACGCAACGCCCTTCTAACGACGAGCGGCCAAGAACTACGACGACCACGAGCACGGTGCTTCACGTGCCCCGAAGCAGATCTTCCTCATCAACCTTTCCCATCTCATCACAACCCAAGCGCACCTACTTACGCTCCGATGGAAAAGGTCTACAGCGATATTTTAAACATGCCTCGAGAAGACACCGAAGCCGACTTCAACTACGTCATCACGTTCATCGACGCAGCAACCAGATACGTTTGGCACTTCAATCTCAAAACGCGCGATCAAGCCTTCGAGGCCTTCACCACATGGCTTCCCATCGCCGAACGCGAATCAGGAACCAAGCTGAAGAGCTTCCAGTCAGACGGTGCACTGGAATACCAGTCACAACGCTTCAGGACCTATCTGGCGGAAAGAGGAATCAGACGCCTGGTGTCTCTGCCCTATGCTCACCAACAGCAGGGGGTAGCAGAACGCATGAACCGGACCTTGCAGACGACGATGCGAAAACTGCTTCTGGGGATGAAGCTGCCCACCACACTGTGGCCAGACGCGATGACACATGCCGTTCACCTGCACAACCTGCTGTCCTCGTCATCACTTCCCAACAACGCATCACCGCACCTGTTGTGGACAAGAAAAAGGGGCAGCACAAAATTACTCGAGTTTTCGGCTGCATGGTACAGTACAGACCCCACACAGCCCGAGCAGGACGCTTCACACAACGAGCTAGGTGGGGACTACACCTCGGCATCGCAAAACATTTTCACGCGTGGAAAATTCTCGACATACAAGACAAAAATACCGTGGCATCACGTGATGTTATTTTCTACGAGCGACTGACGCTGCAGCATTACCTGGACAACATTGCCAACACACAAGACCCCACCGACGGCTTCTCGGGACTTCGTTCCTTCACCGACCGTGCTGCCGAAGCTGACGCAGCAGAAGAAGACGTACCTGAAGCCTCGGAAGCTGCCGGACCACTCCCATTCTGTTCCGTACCTGTTCCACTCGACGAAGACAATCCTCTCGATAGCAACAACCTCGACACCTTTTACCACTTCGCTGACCAAGGTTACATTACACCCCACCCAGTCGACACAAATGTTTCAGAACGCATCGGTCCCAACTTCTTACCTGACCCAGAAGACGGTGACGAAGCAGCTTATTCCGGGAATGAAAATTCCCCTCGACACACACCCACGGGACTGCAGATTCTAGGCCTCTGGGTCTCCGTCCAGCATCCGCCGCCGCCTTCTCCGCGAGAGCCTTCGACCTTGTCGCAGGCTCTGGGGGGGGAACATAAGGCGAAATGGAAGGAAGCGATGGAAAATGAGTTAAAGGCTCTGCAAGACCGGAAAACATGGAAACTGGTACCTGCAACAAGCATCAACGGAAAAAACGTCCTCTCAGGGAAATGGGTGTACCGCATTAAGACCAACTCAGACGGCTCCATCGAACGATTCAAAGCTCGATGGGTCGTACGAGGCTTCGACCAACGATACGGGACCGACTACACAGAAACCTTCGCTCCAGTCTCCCGTCACACCTCATTACGCATCCTACTCGCCGTCGCGGCCACGAAGACACTACCACTACGCCAAATCGACGTCGCCAATGCGTTCCTATACGCACCTGTGGACGCTGAGATTTTCGTCGAACAACCCCACGGATTCATCGACGACCCCACGAAAGTATGCCGACTGACAAAATCCCTATACGGGATCAAGCAAGCCCCACGGCTCTGGCAGCAGCACCTTCACGGCCGTCTCGCAAAAATCGGATTCCTACAACTGCCGCATGACCAAGGGATGTACCGACTGCAGAAGGGAAGAGAGTATGTCCTACTCATCGTCTACGTCGACGACCTGCTCTACATCGGCTCCACTACCGACATCGCTACCTAGTTCGAAGGGGAGCTGAAAGAAGACTTAACACTCACGGTGTCTGACGAAGTGACCCAGTACCTAGGACTGAATGTCGTCGAAGACGACACGGCGTTCTACCTACACGCTGGAAAGTACTCAGGCACCGTCGCGAAGAAATTCGGTCTAACACCGACTACGGTCCCAACTCCCTACCGCTACGGGAACAACAACAGCACCTCCGCAAAACTCCCCGCGAAGCAAATCCAGGAGTATCAACAGAAGCTCGGCTGCCTACTGTTCGCAGCAGTAACCTGCCGACCCGACCTGTCCTATAGTGCGAGTCAACTGACGACGCATCTGAAGCAGCCTGAACAAGAAGATCTCGAGGAGCTCAACCGGGCACTACTCTACTTCGTCTCCACGCCGACGATCGGACTTACCTACAGCAAAGCGACAACACCGTCCGTACGACTACTCGGATACGTCGACGCCAACCACGCGGGAGATAGGGAAAATCGACGATCTAGGACGGGCTATATCTACCGACTAGAACCCATCGGAACTATCTCCTGGCAGTCGAGCAAGCAGGAGTTAATCGCACTATCCTCGGCTGAAGCAGAGTATATCGCCCTTTGTACCGCGACCAAGGAAGGACTCTACCTACGAGAGTTACTCGAGGAAGCGAAGATTGCGACCCTGCCCGCCTTCTCACTCCTCTGCGACAACCAATCTGCGATCAAAATCGCGAACGAGGACGACTTCGCCAACCGAACCAAGCACATCGCCCTGCGGTACTTCTTCGTCAATGATGAAATCGCGAAGGGGAGACTTCAACTCAGTTACTGCCCAACGACAGAAATGGCCGCAGATTATCTGACGAAGAAATTGGCGAAAGCAAAATTCGACTGCTGCATGCTCCTGACCGGGCAAACAAACGTCACCGGATCTGAACACTCCAGCACTCCAGAAACGAAGGGGAGTGTTGGAAATATCTCAAAGGACTTGAGCGTTTCTGAAGTGTAACACTGTACTCGAGGAAGATTACAGGGGAGCACGCGAGTCAACGGAGGTTACACGAGGGGGTGGACAAAAGAATGCGAAAAGACTCGAAAGGTCGCAACTGGAGGTTGCGACTGACCGTTACAACATCACGGATGGTAACCGAAGCGGCAATCGAGTCGATGTGCGACTCGATAAACCGCTCCTGTAACTGTATTCTACAACTGCCTTCCCATTTTCTATATATTGTTGTATGCTTGTTTCTTCAATTAATTACTTGTTCTCACATACTAGTACAAGGGTTCAACTGCCTCAACCTCCGCTGCACTACTCAAAGTCCCAAAGTCTCTACAGCTGGACTTAGTCTCTGCAAAAGATCCTAAGGGCATTTCTCAGCCCAATAACTCACAAGTTCACGTACTCAGGTTATTCAACCATTGACTGTTACCTTTTACACGACTTCCGCTGTCTTACTAGTCTACCATTCCAGTAAAGATCCTGGACCAACACTTGAGCATTTCCAAGTGTTCATGTTTGCAGTTTTTTACTCAGTCTTCTACAACTTTGAACAAGTTATTTCACAGCTCACCAATCTATATTGCCTTGTATCTCCCATTCTAATTATTATTCCTTCTGATATACTTAACAAGCCCTTTTAACTCAGTGGTTAGTGGTGGTGACTAAGTTCTGACATGGTATATAGAGCCATATAAACAATTGCCCTTTCAGGGTTCTCTCTACTGTAAAGCATCAAATCTCCCCTCCTACACTACATAGAATCTCAGCCATTTTGAGATGCACCCTCTTCGGCATGCAACACAACCTCAGCTCCGCATGGGCCCGGCCGGTCATCATTGCACACATACCGCGGTATCCAGCGTGGGCGGGCAGCGTACAAAGCAAAAGACACCATAATTCAGATTGCCCCGCCCTCCCACATGCGCGTGCACAGCTCGAGCACTCACAGCCTAGTACTGTTGCAGACACAGCCTGGTATTGTTGCAAAACGACCTAGTATTGCTGCACGCACGGCCTAGTATTGCTGCACACACAGCCTAGCATTGCTGCACACACGGCCTAGCATTGCTGCACACACGACCTAGCATTGCTGCACACACGGCCTAGCATTGCTGCACACACGGCCTAGCATTGCTGCACACACGGCCATTATTGAGCGGCGCCATCGTCCGTATGCTGCCTTGGACCACGAGCGACATGATCTGCATGCAGAAGTCCCCTCTAGTGACTGAGAAAGCTGCAAGGCTGTCACTGTGACACTGAACCAGGGGTTTGGATTGGACCCTCTACCTATGGAGCCGCAGAACTGCTCCTCTCCTCTATTCCAGCACCCTCGCCTGTCCATTCCAGCACCCTCACCTGTATTCCCTCCTCTCCTCTATTCCAGCACGCTCACCTCTGGGTGCACAGACTTAGTCCCACATACAGCCTATCATTGACGCACACATACCCGCTGTTCAAGTCCGCCATCTTGCGGGCACTGCCTTGGAACTTGAGCGATATGATCCGCGCACAGAAGTCCCCTCGGGTCACCGAGTAGAACTTCAGACACCGCCGTTTCGACACAGCGGCAGGGGCGGCTCTCAGCACCCCAGCTTTTACTAGACTTTGCTGCCGCTGCTGCCATGCGGGCTGCCGCCACAGCGGGGGTGTGAAGTGGGGTTTGCTGGTGGGGTGGGCTGTGGCCCAGGCGAGTTTCCAGGGCGACTGCTGTAGCGGCTGGAGGGGGGTTGGGAGGGTGTGTGAGGCTCGGAGTGGCGAGACTTGGTGTGTTGAGGTGCGTTGCGCAGCGGTTTGGTGTGTGGCGAGCTTTCCCAATGAGAGAGGTGTGGATGGGAGGGAAAGGGCGGTGTGCTGCTGGATTTGCGAGTAGGACCGGAAGGGGCTGCTTGTGTTGCCTCCATAGACGTAAGCAAAGATGCAGACCTGGGGGATAAGAGGAAGGGTGGACCGGAGTTGGGTGAGAGGGGAGGGGAGGACAAGGGGGTTGGGTGAGAGGGGAGGGGAGGAAAAGGGGGTTGGGTGAGAGGGGAGGGGATGAAAAGGGGGTTGGGTGAGGGGGGATGGGAGGAAAAGGGGGTTGGGTGAGGGGAGTGGATGAGAGGGGCCAGTAGACATGGATGGCATTGCGTTGCATGTGTGTCTGCAGTGGACTAGAGGTCCCGAACTACAGTGCCAGCGCGAACCATCATCACTTTGACGAGCCTCGCCTCACAAGCCAACTGCCCCAGTTGCCACCTGCCCCAGTTGTCACCTGCCCCAGTTGTCACCTCCACGCCGGTGATTCCCATTCCATCAGGGAAGAGCCCGTGGCACTTGAGCTCAGGGTTGAGCCAGAAAAAGGTGAGCGCGCAAAGGTTGAGTCGACACACTACACCAGTTGCTACCTACCACCAAATGCCACCTTCCCCAGTCGTCATCTGCACGCTGATCATCTCCATTCCACTGGGAAAGAGCCCGTCGCACTTGAGCCCGGGCTTGAGCCAGAAGAAGGTGAGCGCGTTGAGGTTGTAGCGGCCCAAGATGCCGCTACCACCCACCACCACCAGGTACCACGCACCACCAGGTACCAGACACCACCAGGTACCACCCACCACCAGGTACCACGCACCACCAGTTTCCACAGACCACCACTTTAGAGACGAGAGCTTAGGATTTAGAGTCACCTGCACGCCAGTAATCTCCATTCCATTGGGGAAGAGCGCGTCGCACTTGAGCCCGGGATTGAGCCAGAAGAAGGTGAGCGCGTTGAGGTTGTAGCGCCCCATCAGGGCGGCACAGGTGTCGCCCGGTCGCACATCCGCCCACCACACGCACATGGGGTAGTCCATGCCCTCGCCCTCGTGCACACAGATCTGAATTGAGGGAGAGGGAAGGCGATAGCAGGAGAAGTGAGGAGACGACGGGGAAGTGGAAAGGAGGAGAGATGGTCGCACGTCCGCCCGGCACACGCACATGGGGTAGTCCATGCCCCTGCCCTCGTGCACACAGATCTGAATTGAGGGAGAGGGAAGGCGATAGCAGGAGAAGTGAGGAGACGTCGGGGAAGGGGAAAGGAGGAGAGATGGTCGCACGTCCGCCCAGCACACGCACATGGGGTAATCCATGCCCCTGCCCTCGTGCACACAGATCTGAATTGGGGGAGAGCTAAGGGGATAGCAGGAGTAAGGGCAAGGGGAGGAGGAAGCCATGGCTCAACGTTCGCCCAGCACACACACATGGGGTAGTCCATGCCCCTGCCCTCGTGCACACAGATCTGAATTGAGGGAGAGGGAAGGCGATAGCAGGAGAAGTGAGGAGACGACGGGGAAGTGGAAAGGAGGAGAGATGGTCGCACGTCCGCCCGGCACACGCACATGGGGTAGTCCATGCCCCTGCCCTCGTGCACACAGATCTGAATTGAGGGAGAGGGAAGGCGATAGCAGGAGAAGTGAGGAGACGACGGGGAAGTGGAAAGGAGGAGAGATGGTCGCACGTCCGCCCGGCACACGCACATGGGGTAGTCCATGCCCCTGCCCTCGTGCACACAGATCTGAATTGAGGGAGAGGGAAGGCGATAGCAGGAGAAGTGAGGAGACGACGGGGAAGGGGAAAGGAGGAGAGATGGTCGCACGTCCGCCCAGCACACGCACATGGGGTAGTCCATGCCCCTGCCCTCGTGCACACAGATCTGAATTGAGGGAGAGGGAAGGCGATAGCAGGAGAAGTGAGGAGACGTCGGGGAAGGGGAAAGGAGGAGAGATGGTCGCACGTCCGCCCAGCACACGCACATGGGGTAATCCATGCCCCTGCCCTCGTGCACACAGATCTGAATTGGGGGAGAGCTAAGGGGATAGCAGGAGTAAGGGCAAGGGGAGGAGGAAGCCATGGCTCAACGTTCGCCCAGCACACACACATGGGGTAGTCCATGCCCCTGCCCTCGTGCACACAGATCTGAATTGAGGGAGAGGGAAGGCGATAGCAGGAGAAGTGAGGAGACGACAGGGAAGTGGAAAGGAGGAGAGATGGTCGCACGTCCGCCCAGCACACGCACATGGGGTAGTCCATGCCCCTGCCCTCGTGCACACAGATCTGAATTGAGGGAGAGGGAAGGCGATAGCAGGAGAAGTGAGGAGACGTCGGGGAAGGGGAAAGGAGGAGAGATGGTCGCACGTCCGCCCAGCACACGCACATGGGGTAGTCCATGCCCCTGCCCTCGTGCACACAGATCTGAATTGGGGGAGAGCTAAGGGGATAGCAGGAGTAAGGGCAAGGGGAGGAGGAAGCCATGGCTCAACGTTCGCCCAGCACACACACATGGGGTAGTCCATGCCCCACCCTCATTCACACAGAGCTGTGTGTAATGGAGTAGAGAGAGAGAGAAGAAGAGGAGAGACGGACGATGGCTGCTCCGCCGGCAGAGGAGGGGAGATGGCTAACCAGCGGACAACATTCAAATGCGCTGCTGAAAAGCCGGCCACTCACCTGCAGGCCACTCACCTGCAGGCCACTCACCTGCAGGCCACTCACCTGCAGGCCACTCACCTGCAGGCCACTCACCTGCAGGCCACTCACCTGCAGGCCACTCACCTGCAGGCCTCTCACGTGCAGGCCACTCACCTGCAGGCCACTCACGTGCAGGCCACTCACCTGCAGGCCACTCACGTGCAGGCCACTCACGTGCAGGCCACTCACCTGCAGGCCTCTCACCTGCAGGCCTCTCACGTGCAGGCCACTCACCTGCAGGCCACTCACGTGCAGGCCACTCACGTGCAGGCCACTCACCTGCGGGCCTCTCACGTGCAGGCCACTCACCTGCAGGCCACTCACGTGCAGTCCACTCACGTGCAGGCCACTCACCTGCAGGCCTCTCACGTGCAGGCCACTCACGTGCAGGCCACTCACCTGCAGGCCACTCACGTGCGGGCTGGCAGAGGGGGCAGTGCAGGAGTCACCACCAGAGCAGGCGAGGCTGGGATTCAGGCGAGTCAACTCTGTCTCGTTCAGTGCAAAGAGCAATGCTACAGCCGCCCCCCCACCTGCTGCTGAGAGTGCTTTTTCTTATTCCCGAAAGCTGCTTTCCAACGCACCTGCTGGCCGGCAGAGGGGGCAGCACAGGAGTCGGCACCGGAGCAGTCGAGGCCGGGATTCAAGCGAGTCAACTCAGTCTCGTCCAGTGCAAAGAGAGCTGCTACAGCCGCACAGGTGTCGTCGCTGGACCAGGAGTAGTAGAGGTTGCAGGAGACGCAGGAGGGGGTGGGAGCCACGTTGACCTCTGTGCTTGCTGGGATGGTGACGCAGGGGGAAGCCTGTTGAGGGGGGGAGATAAGCCGGGGAAAGGGGTGGAAGCGAGAGAGGGGAATGGGGGGGGGGGGGTTGTGGGGGGGAGAAGGGGCATGAGTGGAGCACAGGTGTTGCTCTGGACCACACTAGTGGAGCACAGGTGTTGCTCTGGACCACACTAGGGGAAGAAATCAAAGGAGATGCTGGGGTCGCAGGAGATGGAGCATATCGAGAATGACAAAACACCAGATTAGTGCCATTGGGTGCTTACGAGGCAGCAGCAACTTGGGATACCACATGCGTGGAAGAAATTACGGGAGAGATGCAGGAGCAAAGTGGCAGCTATCAATCAGAATGCACATGCAACACGAAGCTGGGGGGGAAACGGGGATGCGTGTAGCTATCCGCTTTTTAGAATTCTCACAAACAGGAGCACATTGGCGGCTATCACAATACATTATACACCTACATCCGGAAGCTGTGGGAGAAACGGGGAGAGTCTGCTTTTAAGTCGACTCAAAAGCAGACAGCTTCATCAGGAAGCTGTGGGAGAAACGGGGGGGAGAGCGCAGCACGCCAAGGTGCGAGCAACGCAGTCACTGATTGGTCAAAGAGTGAGGCATGCTTCCTCGTGGGGCCAAAGAGGGAACGGGGAGTGGGTGGGGGCGGAGGTGGGGTGGGCAACTCACCACACTGGGGTTCTGCGCGAGGAGCGCTTCCTCTGTGAGGTCAGAAAGCTGGTAGACGAGAGTAAGAGGGTGAAGAATTGGATTGGACAGTGACCAGAGAGCGACCAGAGAGTGACCAGAGAGCGACCAGAGAGGAACAACATACCAGACTGGGGTTCTGAGCGAGGAACGCTTCCTCAGTGAGGCCAAAGAGCTGGTAGACGAGAGGGCAGTCCACGTCCACCGGGAAGGAGAGGGTGGAGGGAGGAGAGTCAGCTGGAGGGGAGAGGAGAGGGGGGGGAGAAAGTTGAGGAAAGGATCAGTCAGAGCAAGCCAAAGTGAATGTGTGAGAGGGCAGTGCATGTCCATTGGGAAGGAGAGGGTGGAGGGAGGGGAGGAGGCTGGAGGGGAGGGCAAGGGGAACTGTGGGGGGGAATGGGTACAAAGGAGGCACAGGGAGCAAGAGGAATTTTTAGGCGCCTCAAAAGGGGTGGGGAGCAAGAGGGTGGGAGATCTTTGAATGACGACAAAACAGTGGAAGTGTCCCATTCTTAGTCGACCCATTCTTAGTGGCACTCACAAGGCGTGCAAGTGTCCCATCCAAGCGGCCGGCTGCCCTTGTCATATCCAGGAGGGCAAAGACAGAAATATCCGCCCACGTTGTCGTTGATGCATGTGCCTGTGAGGCAGGGGTTGGACGCCTGTGACCCACACGCGTCCACTGAAAACGGATGACGCGTGGGGCGGGGAGAAAAGGGATGGCACGTGGGGCAGGGGGGGGTTGAAAATGGGGCAGGGGGGATTGAGAAAGGGGCAGGGGGGATTGAGAATGGGGCAGGGGGGATTGAGAAAGGGGCAGGGGGGATTGAGAAAGGGGCAGGGGGGATTGAGAAAGGGGCAGGGGGGATTGAGAAAGGGGCAGGGGGGATTGAGAAAGGGGCAGGGGGGATTGAGAAAGGGGCAGGGGGGATTGAGAAAGGGGCAGGGGGGATTGAGAAAGGGGCAGGGGGGATTGAGAAAGGGGCAGGGGGGATTGAGAAAGGGGCAGGGGGGATTGAGAAAGGGGCAGGGGGGATTGAGAAAGGGGCAGGGGGGATTGAGAAAGGGGCAGGGGGGATTGAGAAAGGGGCAGGGGGGATTGAGAATGGGGCAGGGGGGATTGAGAATGGGGCAGGGGGGATTGAGAAAGGGGCAGGGGGGATTGAGAAAGGGGCAGGGGGGATTGATGAATGGGTGTTGGGTTGGGAATGGGAAGGGAAGTGTTGGTGCATGTGCCTGTGAGGCGTGGGTTGGCTGCTATGACCCACATGCGTCCACTGGGATGGGATGGGGGTGGGGGATGGCGCATTGGGCATGGGGGATGGCGCATTGGGCATGGGGGATGGGGAAAGGGAAATGGGGGAGACGTGCACCTGGCGGAACGTCGAAAAGCGTTTCCAATGCTTTGGAAGGAGTTTAAAGCCCGCAACCCAAATGGGTCATACGCACTGCGTATGAACTTGTGTTTGGGGTCTGCGAAGCTTTTTACAAAATTCGTCAGAGCAAATGTTTGTCGCAAAACACAACAGCAGGGGGGGGTAAGCAACCAATCAGAAACAGTCTCGTAAACCAACCGCACTTTGGGCCAGATGACTGTGCCGAGAACAGTTAGGTCGAACGAGCTTGGAATTTGGACCGTTAGATTTTCGCCGACTTCATATTTGATTCGCAGCCGTCCGATCAGGAACTATTGCTAGTTGTGTTGGTGTGTTGGAATTGCAAGTGCGTAAAAAAAAACAACATTTTGGACCGTCAGGTTTAGATCTTGCTAAATGAACGGCTGTGGAGTCCCCTGGCAAAACAGCCCTCGTAAAGTTTCGCCCAAGCCCGCTTCATACGAAGTGCGTTTGAAGCACGTGGATTGCAATTTGGGCTGCGGGCTTTTAGGGCCGATGCTCTAATGTGAGCTTAACAGAGGTGGGGATAGGAATATCGCTCACATGCATTCACAGACACAGAATTGAGTGGAATGCAGACACACACACACAGATAACCCCCAGGCACAAGGAGTGTGTGCGTGGCACAAAAGGCACCAATCACAGGGGTGATAAATGAGTTGCCTAAAAAGGCACCAAGACAAGGACTCAGAAAATCAAACAACCCCTTAGAAGAATCGCATTTGGTTGAGTGGCGCACCAACACTGCTTTTGAGGCGCCTCAAAAGCAGCGCTGCACCAACACCAACGCAAGCAACACTCACGGGGGGCACATGTCACGATTTTAAAGGCGCCTCAAAAATCAACGCAAGCATCACTCACAGGTAGACATGGTCAAAACGCGATGCGATGCGATATCGCATCGCATTCTTTCTTATCGCGCATTATATCGCAGCGATGCGATATCGCATCGCTGTGATATGTTAAAAAGAAAACCGAAATCGCATATCGCGTTTTAGGGGGCAATATTTAAAAATATCGCCTAAAAAAAGCGATGCATACTCGCACCAGAATGGCATACTCGCCCCTATGGGTTTTAGTTTTTTTCTTGCCAGCTAGCCTGCCCGAATGTTGTCAGCCATTTTCAGTAGCACTACAGATCCCACAATATCGCAGGAAAACAGAGTTCAGTAGCCCCAAAGTGACGGAGCAAGGAGATTGTGACGCGTGGTCTTCTGTGGTGCGAACTAACCTCAAAGAACAAAAAACTGGCCCGGGAGGGTTGGAACAATGAGAAACCCTTCCGTGAAAGGGCTAAATGTTACTCAAAAGAGTAAAACTCCAGTAAGGGTTACCGCTAACCTAAAAACCCTTTCCAACGGGTTTTTAGATTACCGGTAACCCTTACTAGCGTTTTACTCTTTGGGATCACGTTTAGCCCCTATTACGGAAGGGTTTCTCGCCGATCAAACCCCCAGGGACAGTTTTTTGTTCTTCGAGGTTAGTTCTCTCCACAGCGAACCACGTGTAACAATCTCCTTCATCTTGGGCAGAGGGCAGAAACAATAAAACCCTTATGGGCCTGGCATGGCATTCTGGATGGCATCAACCTAAACTCGCAAAAGGGCCACGAATTTAGGGTTGATGCCCACCAGAATGGCATACTCGCCCCTATGGGTTTTAGTTTTTTTCTTGCCAGCTAGCCTGCCCGAATGTTGTCAGCCATTTTCAGTAGCACTACAGATCCCACAATATCGCAGGAAAACAGAGTTCAGTAGCCCCAAAGTGACGGAGCAAGGAGATTGTGACGCGTGGTCTTCTGTGGTGCGAACTAACCTCAAAGAACAAAAAACTGGCCCGGGAGGGTTGGAACAATGAGAAACCCTTCCGTGAAAGGGCTAAATGTTACTCAAAAGAGTAAAACTCCAGTAAGGGTTACCGCTAACCTAAAAACCCTTTCCAACGGGTTTTTAGATTACCGGTAACCCTTACTAGCGTTTTACTCTTTGGGATCACGTTTAGCCCCTATTACGGAAGGGTTTCTCGCCGATCAAACCCCCCAGGGACAGTTTTTTGTTCTTCGAGGTTAGTTCTCTCCACAGCGAACCACGTGTAACAATCTCCTTCATCTTGGGCAGAGGGCAGAAACAATAAAACCCTTATGGGCCTGGCATGGCATTCTGGATGGCATCAACCCTAAACTCGCAAAAGGGCCACGAATTTAGGGTTGATGCCCACCAGAATGGCATACTCGCCCCTATGGGTTTTAGTTTTTTTCTTGCCAGCTAGCCTGCCCGAATGTTGTCAGCCATTTTCAGTAGCACTACAGATCCCACAATATCGCAGGAAAACAGAGTTCAGTAGCCCCAAAGTGACGGAGCAAGGAGATTGTGACGCGTGGTCTTCTGTGGTGCGAACTAACCTCAAAGAACAAAAAACTGGCCCGGGAGGGTTGGAACAATGAGAAACCCTTCCGTGAAAGGGCTAAATGTTACTCAAAAGAGTAAAACTCCAGTAAGGGTTACCGCTAACCTAAAAACCCTTTCCAACGGGTTTTTAGATTACCGGTAACCCTTACTAGCGTTTTACTCTTTGGGATCACGTTTAGCCCCTATTACGGAAGGGTTTCTCGCCGATCAAACCCCCCAGGGACAGTTTTTTGTTCTTCGAGGTTAGTTCTCTCCACAGCGAACCACGTGTAACAATCTCCTTCATCTTGGGCAGAGGGCAGAAACAATAAAACCCTTATGGGCCTGGCATGGCATTCTGGATGGCATCAACCCTAAACTCGCAAAAGGGCCACGAATTTAGGGTTGATGCCCACCAGAATGGCATACTCGCCCCTATGGGTTTTAGTTTTTTTCTTGCCAGCTAGCCTGCCCGAATGTTGTCAGCCATTTTCAGTAGCACTACAGATCCCACAATATCGCAGGAAAACAGAGTTCAGTAGCCCCAAAGTGACGGAGCAAGGAGATTGTGACGCGTGGTCTTCTGTGGTGCGAACTAACCTCAAAGAACAAAAAACTGGCCCGGGAGGGTTGGAACAATGAGAAACCCTTCCGTGAAAGGGCTAAATGTTACTCAAAAGAGTAAAACTCCAGTAAGGGTTACCGCTAACCTAAAAACCCTTTCCAACGGGTTTTTAGATTACCGGTAACCCTTACTAGCGTTTTACTCTTTGGGATCACGTTTAGCCCCTATTACGGAAGGGTTTCTCGCCGATCAAACCCCCCAGGGACAGTTTTTTGTTCTTCGAGGTTAGTTCTCTCCACAGCGAACCACGTGTAACAATCTCCTTCATCTTGGGCAGAGGGCAGAAACAATAAAACCCTTATGGGCCTGGCATGGCATTCTGGATGGCATCAACCCTAAACTCGCAAAAGGGCCACGAATTTAGGGTTGATGCCCACCAGAATGGCATACTCGCCCCTATGGGTTTTAGTTTTTTTCTTGCCAGCTAGCCTGCCCGAATGTTGTCAGCCATTTTCAGTAGCACTACAGATCCCACAATATCGCAGGAAAACAGAGTTCAGTAGCCCCAAAGTGACGGAGCAAGGAGATTGTGACGCGTGGTCTTCTGTGGTGCGAACTAACCTCAAAGAACAAAAAACTGGCCCGGGAGGGTTGGAACAATGAGAAACCCTTCCGTGAAAGGGCTAAATGTTACTCAAAAGAGTAAAACTCCAGTAAGGGTTACCGCTAACCTAAAAACCCTTTCCAACGGGTTTTTAGATTACCGGTAACCCTTACTAGCGTTTTACTCTTTGGGATCACGTTTAGCCCCTATTACGGAAGGGTTTCTCGCCGATCAAACCCCCCAGGGACAGTTTTTTGTTCTTCGAGGTTAGTTCTCTCCACAGCGAACCACGTGTAACAATCTCCTTCATCTTGGGCAGAGGGCAGAAACAATAAAACCCTTATGGGCCTGGCATGGCATTCTGGATGGCATCAACCCTAAACTCGCAAAAGGGCCACGAATTTAGGGTTGATGCCCACCAGAATGGCATACTCGCCCTATGGGTTTTAGTTTTTTTCTTGCCAGCTAGCCTGCCCGAATGTTGTCAGCCATTTTCAGTAGCACTACAGATCCCACAATATCGCAGGAAAACAGAGTTCAGTAGCCCCAAAGTGACGGAGCAAGGAGATTGTGACGCGTGGTCTTCTGTGGTGCGAACTAACCTCAAAGAACAAAAAACTGGCCCGGGAGGGTTGGAACAATGAGAAACCCTTCCGTGAAAGGGCTAAATGTTACTCAAAAGAGTAAAACTCCAGTAAGGGTTACCGCTAACCTAAAAACCCTTTCCAA